AGCCCAACACACACACACTTTATTAGGTAGCTCCTTTGCCTTTCCATGCAGATGTTACAAACAGTATGCCATTTATAATTTTCCTAGAATTTTTATTGGAATTGTAAATTTATAGATGAAATAGGAAGAATTTATGTGCTAACAATAGAGGATGCTCTGACTCACAACCCAGTGTACTTCTGTATTTATTGAGATCGTTGATGTTTTTCCTTGGTGTGGTGGTTTTCTGCATACAGAATCCGGAGATGTCTTGTTAGATTACTCATTAAATATTTATGTATACAGAGCTGGGGTACAGGGCAGAAGTGCGGGGGGTGAGAGGATTCACCAGAGACCGTGGAAGGCAGAACAGGCAGATCAACTTTTTCGATCTGTGCACAGAGAGATTTGCTGTGCCATGTGGGTCACCTCTTGGGACTAGCTTTGCAGTTCTGCGCTTTAACCTGTTGGGCCACTAGGGAGGGCCCTGCTTTGTTAGATTTAGACTGCTGTATTTCATTTGTTTTGGTGATGTTGTAGCTATGAGTTGTACTTTAATTTCAATTTTTCAAAAAGATTTACTTATTTATGCATACAGAACTGGGTTGTAGAAGAGAGGATTCACCAGAGACAGAGTGGGAAGCAGAACAGGCAGGTCTGGGGATGAAACTGGCACTGAGGTTGCTGCAGTGCTGTGTCGTAAACCTGTTCTGCCACCAGGGAGGCCTAGTTTCATTTCTAACTCTTCACTGCTATCATGTGCATTTCTGTCATATAGAAATGCAGCTTGTATATTCTCCTGTGTCTTGTTGCTTAATTCCATTTATTAGTTCTTGTAGTTTTTCCTGTGATTTCTTTGCATAGGATTATGTCAACTGCAGTCAAAAGATTTTTGAGATTCGTCCTAGATGCCTTTTTCTTTTTTTCCTTATTGCCCTGACTAGATGCTCCAGTACAATATTGTGCAATAGTGGGGAGAGTGGACATCCTTGTCTTACTCCTGATCTTAAGGGGGAGTATCCAGTTACTATTGAGTAGTTTTTCAGATTTTTTTTGTTGTTGTTGATACCTTAAATCAGGTTTAGGAAGGTCTCTTTCTCTCTTTGTTGTTTTTATCATTGAAAGAGTGTTAAGAGTTTTTCAAAAGTCCTTTCTGTATCGAATGACATCATATGGTAGTTTTTAATTGTTAAAGTATTGGATTATGTTGATTTTTTTTTTTTAATGCTTTTCTAGGTTAAGTCCTACTTGGACATGATGTATATATTCCTCTTGTTAATGATTTCACTTTGCTAATTCTTTGTTGAAGTTTGGCATCTGCTCTGGAGGGATATTTCTTGTTTACCTGTAGTGTTAGTATAAGGGTATACTGGTGGCATTATTAAGTGGGTTGGTGACACAAACTATGAAACTTCTATCTACTAACAAATTCCGGATAGAAAAGGAAATGCTCAGAAAAATCAGAATTTCCACTGCTAACTTATGTTACAACCTCCCTTTTTTGTATAATCAAGATACCAAATATTCTGAGCAACCATCAGTTTACAACTGGATTGCCTTAGCCTCATAAAGTGGTTGCCTGGCCAGGCAAGCTGCCCCAGGCGGGGAAATTCCTCTGTCTCTGGAGACTAAAGCCCCAGGAGAAATAAGACCCAAGGGCATAAAAACTCCTAGGAAGCTTCCTTGGTTTCTTTAAATGAAAAGCAAATCTCAGATAAGACTTCCAGGGCATAAGGACTCAGGACAATTTTTAACACCTGTTTACACAGGTGTTGCTTAGTACACAGCTGTACAAATTTCTCTTTACTCCTTTTTAAAACAAGCACTAACTACTCTATGCTAGCCTTAAATTAGCCATTAGCTTTTCTTTAGACAGTCACTGATAACACTGCTAACACAATTTATTACTTCCTTAAGACCTCTCTTCCTTTGAGTGATAACTAAACATCTGTACACATGACAATCACCACAAAAAATGATAGTGTACCATAAAATGTTAAGAGAAAAATGCTTTGTTCCCCTTGTCCCTGAGAACGTTTTATGGTGATTTCTCATTAACTTATCCTATGCATTATTGCAATTAACTACTTGCTACACAGTATAAATAAAGACCCGAGGGAATGAGCAGGAAGACTTGCACCCAACTCTGACCCCCATGTCTTCCTGGTGCCCCCTCCCCACTCTCCTTTTGGAATCTCTGCTTGCCTACACCTCCCACCTTAGGGCCTTGCCTGTCTCGCCTCTGGACACCTCGATAGTTGGGGCTGGTCCCCAACAGGTTGGCAGTTGGCCTTCTTCAGATTTTTAAAACGAGTCTCAATAGAATTGATTTCTTTTAAGATTTGATAGTTGTTGCCAATGGAGCCATCTCTTCCTGGAGTTTTCTTTGAGATACTTTTTCCTGTAAATTCAGTTTATTGAATAGAGCATTATGATAGCTTTCATTTTGTAGGGAAAGAGTCCATTATGTCTGAATTACTTAATTTATAGGTGTTGAGCCATCTGTCAACTCCCTTAGCATCCTTCACTGACTCTTGGGCTCTGATCACCCAGGCTTCCCCTGTTCTAGTGTCACTGGTCACTTAGACATTTTGTATGTTTTAAAACTGTAGTTCCTAGATTTCTCTGGTGGATTAATATATAAGCAACATATGGCTTTGACCACTTAGAGTGAGTAATTGCGGTGTGGGCCTTTGCTAAAGACAGTGAATGTCTCTGGGCTTCTGTGCATGTGTTTTTCAGCCATGTGTGTCACCTTATCTCTGTCAGGAAAAATTATAGCAGATCGGTCATTCTCTAGCACTCAAGCCTATCTGTAGATCCACAGCCCAGTTGCTGACTGCTCTTTAGAAGGGGTTCTTAAAGCTGAATTGAAAGAGGTCAGTGTGGCTGTGGGGTCAGAGCCTGATGCCATTGTGAGAATTCTCCCTACAAACTGATCCACACTGATGTGCGTGCTTGACTGTGGGGGTGAATGATGGGAAGAAAGTAGCTAAGTAATAGCAGGAGGAGTTCCTTCTCCCCAGAATTGGCAGTCGTCTTCAAACACAATTCCTTTGTTTTTTCAACTGGGATGCACTGAATTGGCCTCCTCATTGAAGCAGACACATAGACCAGAGCAGCAGTGTTCTTACAAAAAAGTGAGCAGGGAAGGGCCCTCCCTGGTGGCATAGTCAGTTAAAGCACAGCACTAAGAAGCTAAAGCCGTTTCAGCATGAGTTCGATCCCCGCCCCAGAGGTGACCCACATCGCACAGCGACCTCTCCTGACCTGCCTGCTGCTCCCTTCAGTAATGTACTTTGTTGATCTGTCTGTTCTCCCCATTCTGTCTCTGGTGAAGCCTCTTACCACCCCTGTACCTCTGGCCTGTACCCCAGTTCTGTATGCATAAATAAATAAATCTTTAAAAAAAAAAAGTGAGCAGGGGATAGAGGGAAATGCTGTGAGGAGATTGGAGTAGTTTCTGTCATTTTTAACCATCCACTTTGCGGTATTTTATTATGGTAGTCCCAGGAGACTTAAAACAGTCCTCAGCTGGGAGATGGGCTATGCTTCTGAGTTGGCTAGATATCATCCTCCATTAATAGTGCTCAACTGAGACTAATGCTGGTTGGGGTCAGTCTTCTCTTAGCTAGCATCAGCAAAAAAAAAAACAACAAACCAAAAAACACCTCTTTTAACTGGTTTCCTCTTTAACCCCTCGTACCCCCTTTAAAGATTTATTTATGCATACAAAAACTAGGATATAGGCCAGAGGTAAGGGGGGTGGTGGTAAGAGGATTCACCATAGAAAGAAAGGGAGCAGAGTAGGCGGATGTACTGAAATACACTGCTGAGTGGAGCCTTGGGAGACAAGAGAGGTCTGCTGTGTCATGTGGGTCAGCTACTTGGTGGGGGATCAAACTCATGTTGTAGTGGTTGGTGATAGCGTGACAGCACTGAGACTTTAGCCTCTGGGCCACCTGGGAGGCTCTTCCTCTTAATAACCCTTTTTTTTTTTTAAGATTTTTATTTTATTTTGTGCATACAGAACTGGGGTACAGGCCAGAGGCTCAGGGGCGATGAGAGGCTTCACCAGAGACAGAGTGGGGAACAGAACAGGTAGATCAACGAAGTACACTGCTGAGGGGAGCAGCGGGGCGGGTCAGGAGAGGTCTGCCACACCATGTGGTCACCTCTGGGGCAGGCGGGGATCGAACTCATGCGGAAGTGGCTTTAAATTCTCAGTTCTGTGCTTTAACCCACTGCGCCACCAGGGAGGGCCTTAATAACCCTTTTTAACCTTTGTTACTGTGATTAGTTTCTGAGCTCTATAGTCACTGTGATTAGTTTCTGAGCCAAAAATTAGTTTAAAATTAGAGCCTGGTGGGCCTTCTCTGGTGGTATAAGGGGTTAAAGTGCAGTACTGTGAGGCACAAGTTCAATCCCTAGCTAGGCAGGTGACCCACATGGCACAGCAGACTTTGTCTCATCCGCTGTTCCCCTCAGCAGTGTGTTTCAGTAGATCCTCCTGTTCTGCTTCCTACTCTGTCTCTGGTGAATCCTCTCATCCTCCACACCTCTGGCCTGTACCCCAGCTCTTGTATGTATAAATAAAGAAATAAATCTAAAAATAAATAAATAAAAGCTAGAGCCTAGCTTTTTAGGGCTTTGTTTGGGACTGCTCCCTGCTGTGGAGCTTTGGGGTTCAGGGACTAGGCCTTTTTAGACTACAGCTCTTGTATCTGGCTTACTTTTTCTCTTCTGGAATCTGTTCAGGTTTTTCTCCTAAGGATGTTATCTTTAGATTTCTATTTGTTTGAGCAGGCTGAAAAAAAGGCTCCCATGCTGGCTGGCCATCTAGCCTGAGTCCTTGCTAAGCTAGACTCTTTAACCCTAGCTTTCTGAGCTCGCAGAAGGGAGCTGGATGCTAGGCTGGGGTGTGACATTTTCAATGAGGTAATTGAGTACAGGAACCCAGCAGTGGGATGAGGCAGGTAGTTCTTGATCCAGCACTTAGGGGTTACTGCTTTGTTTTCTAGTATTTTAACCACATCAGTATCGAGGACTCGCGGGTCTATGAGCTGACCAGCAAGGCTGGACTGTTGTCTCCCTATCAGATTCTTCACGAGTGCCTTAAAAGGTAAGGTGGGGATGGGGAGTGGGAGGTGGGTGTCTCTTCTCTGGGTGCCCATTACTGACCATTTATTCTAGTTCAAAAAGCAAAGCCAAAGGCTGAGCCATTGCATACAGTGTCTTCTGTGGTCAGGCCTCTGTAGAGCTGGATGTGCTCAGGGAGTCCTCTGGCTTCTCTTTGGAGAACCTTAAAGGACTTACCCCAGAAGCAACCATTACCTCTGCCTCAGCTGATGTCACCTGTTGTTTGTTTTCTCTTAAAGAAACCATGGAATGGGTGACACATCTATAAAGTTTGAAGTGGTTCCTGGTAAAAACCAGAAGAGTGAATATGTCATGGCTTGCGGCAAGCACACAGTGCGAGGCTGGTGTAAGCACTTCTTTCCGTCCTCCCTACTTCCCACCAATGCTTTCAAATGGCAGCTGGGAGTTGTTGCCTCTCTGTGTCCTCTTGGAGTGTTCTGAGCCTCGTGGCTTGGCCCCACCACTGTTGTGCTGCGTGCTCCCCAGCTATGCTGTGTCTGCACAGCTGTGTCTTGCGTGTGCTCATGAGCATCTTGGGGACGCTGAAACAGCCACCTCCTAGGCTCAGATCACTTGTTTTGACTTATCTACATGTTACCTTCCGGTCTACTGTCCCAGCCCGTCCCTGGGTCCTCAGGGTAGGGGTGTTCTGTGGAAACGGCGTCGCTCTGCTGTGCCTGCCTCTCTGCACACTGCTCTGTTTGTGCCACCTACATGCCCGGTCTGTTTGTTTTTATTTTTGTTCTTAAGTTGAGGACATTTATTTTGAAATGTTATATATGTTCACTATTGAAATCAAGATATTAACATTTTGCTACATAGGTTTCAGATTTATTTTTAATTCTTAAATATCTAAAATCAGTTTAGAGTCACTCTTCTCTATCTTTTCCCTAGTTTTCCCCCTCATACTTCATCACAATCATGATTAGTGTATTTTATGTCTGTAGCTCATTAATTTGGAATGTGAAGTGACTACTCTTACAAATGCAACTTCAGAAGAAAATTTTGTAAACACAAAACCAGCACTGTGCACATCAGAAGTCTGCACAAGATGATTCTGGGAAAATTTCATACCACATTTAGACTGTGTGCCCTGCACATCAAAAGATACTAGTACCCACTGAGGTGCAGTTTGAGCCAGATGGGCAGGGCATGTGACAGAGGAGCGATTTTGTAGCTGGGATTAACTGCCCCTCGGCCCCCATCTGTCTGGATAATGTACTGGCCTTCACCTGCCTAGCTGTTGGTATCTCTTAGCACTTGCCCTTTTCCATGGCCTTGGCCCTGTCTTCCCTTGCCATAGAAACATTCTCTGGAAATCCCTCTCACAGAGCCTCCTCCCCAGCCTGCCTCTCAGAAGCCCCAGACCACATGCTTCACAACTTGTGTTGTTGCTTCTCTGTGTGTGAAAATATGGGGCCATGGTAGGAGGGAGGCGGCTTAAACTGTATTATCTTGGCCACAGCCTGTTCCCAAAGCCTTTATACTGTTTCAACAAAGCAGGGTCAGGGTGGGTACTAAGGACCCAGGTTTGTGATAGAATAGACTGTGCCTTTAGCTAGGTGGGGGAATGGCAGATATGTTCCCCTCTAGAGACATGTCTTTGTGGGTACCTAAGTGTGGTGACCCCTCCCCATGTTTCCTCTTCATCTTCATAGGTAAGAATAAGAGAGTTGGGAAACAGTTAGCCTCTCAGAAAATCCTTCAGCTGCTTCACCCACATGTCAAGAACTGGGGGTCTTTATTGCGCATGTATGGCCGGGAAAGCAGCAAGATGGTCAAGCAGGTAACATATCTCTCCTAAGGCCCAGGGCTTTCTTCACATTCCCTGACTCAGGAGTACACAATTAGGGTCCTGTTGTGGGTAGCTCTGCTGATCCACATCTTTGTGTGTGTGTGTGTTTGTGGATTGGGGGTGGGGTGTTTATTCTTGGTCTCCCTCCCAGCATGGCCCTGGGCCTGCCTTGACTGATTGTGTAGGAAGGGAGTTGGGGCTTGAGGCAGAGCCACGGGATAAGGCAGGGGGTGCAGGTGATGAGTGCTACTAGCTCTGATACGAGAAGACTGGGGAGCTGGGCCCGCCAGTCCATTCAAAAGAGCAGAGAACCTTTGTGCTTTCTAGGAAACCTCAGATAAGAGTGTGATCGAACTGCAACAGTATGCCAAGAAGAACAAGCCCAACCTACATATCCTGAGCAAGCTACAGGAGGAGATGAAGAGGCTGGCTGAGGAGCGGGTGAGTATGTGGGCCACTTGCATTGTGCTGGCCAAGCTATGGCCGTGGCTCCTCCCCATTTTCTGTCTCCTCCCCTGCATAATACTGATAGCTGCAAGGAGAAAGCTGACATCCTGATGCCCTAATTTTGCCCAGACCCTAGAAAAGCCCCCCTCTACTGAACCCTCAGTTCTTAAAAGATTACATTTGCATTTCTTTGAGAGTTAGCACTCATGGTATTTGTATCAAATCACTTTTTTTAAAAAAAAAATTTATTCATACAGAACTTGGGTACAGGCCAGAGGTGCAGGGGCTTGAGAAGCTTCACCAGAAGGTGAGCAGAACAGGCAGACTGACGAATTACACTGCTGAGGGGAGCAGCGGGTAGGTCAGGAGAAGTCTGCCGTGCCATGTGGGTCACCTCCTGGGCTGGGGATCGAACGCATGCGCATGCTGAAGTGGCTTTAGGTTCTTAGTGCTGTGCTTTAACCTGCTGTGCCACCAGGGAGGGCCCTCATATTTTTATTTTTAGAGAGCTGGAATTCCTAGCTGCAATTATAAAGGGCTTGGATCCCACTCAGCACTGGCCATTTGAGGTCAGGTACAACACACCAGTTAGGCTCCCCATACTCAGGGTTATCATGGCAAACTTCCACCCTGAACCTCTTTTTCAGGTCCTGAGCAGTTATGTGAAGGGGAGAGCATGATTCACTGAATGATTGCACCCCTGGGTACTTAAAAGCCACCCTCCCAAGAAGGGGCTTTTTCAGCTGTGCTTTCATACAACCTAGGGCCAGTACAAAACCCTGAGATGGTAGCATCTATTGTTTGTCACTTTTCCAGTCCAGCATTCTCCTCACTTCTACCCTCATGGGTGGTGAGAGATACCTGGTGTTTCCTGTGACCTCCTCATACCCTTCACTTCTAGGTGTGTCCCCCATTCTGAGGGGAGCACCAGGATGTGGTACTTGGTCTTAGTACCCAAGGAGACCCTCCCTCCAATCCCATCTGACTTGATTAGGCCTTCCTTCTAGCTTGGGATTACTGAGCATGATGCCATCCTATTCCATAGGCATCAGTCTTCAGCCCCACCACCCTGCCTTTCCCCCAACCCCCTTCCAGAGCCTCTTGCCCAAGGTTGGGGTGGGCCATGCCGACATTCCTGACCCTGGTTATTCTTCTAGGAGGAAACTCGAAAGAAGCCCAAGATGTCTATTGTAGCATCTGCCCAGCCTGGTGGTGAGCCTTTGTGCACTGTGGACGTGTGAGGGGAGCACTGGGGCTGGGCGCTGCCTGGGAGACTGCCATGCCACTCAGCGCAGCCTTGGGCCTCCCATCCAAGTTCCTCCCCTGCGGCCCTGTGTCTGAGGTTGGGCCAGAGAGGCGGGACTCCGGTGCACGGGAACAGCCAGGATCATTCAGCTCTTCCTGGAGACTTGCCCGTAGGTGCGAGTGAATGTGTTCAAGGATTGACTCAGCCTGGCTGTACAGGTGGACACCAAGCTTGGGAGTCACCTGTGGACCTCTGCTTTTATGAACTTGCTTGTAGAGTGATTTTATGAAGGTTTTCATGAATTTTAATATGTAACATGAACTGTGACAAATGATAGTTGGATGACAGATGAAATAAGGAAGTGATTGCTGAATTCCTATGACTACCCTGTTCCCAGGCTCCCATGGTCAGAAGAATCACGCTAGCACCAAACCCTACTCTACCCTGTGTCCTGTTTTTCCCTTTTCTCTCAAGAAAGTTTTGAAAGTTAGGATCACTTCAGACCTTTTTGGTTTAAAATAAACAATTTTAGCATCAAAACTATTTTTCAGAGATTATAGGCAAATCATCAAAGTGATTTCAGATTTGAAGCATTGCTAGTGTGAGTCTGAAGTCTGCCAGTCTCCTGGCTTGTTGCCCTGGCTCTGGGCTGGACTGTGGGGCCATTTTTCTGAGTAAGTCTTCAAGCCCTAAAAACTTGCCTTTTTAGAAACTGAGGACCTTACCTTCCCTGGTCTCCAGCAACTTTTTACTAAAAACTTTTTGCAGTCAAGTTCATCTGTCCGCCCATCAATTTTTAAAGCTTTTATGATATTTTAGCATTTGGAAAGAAATTTTTGCAGTGAAAGTAGATGATAGATTTGGAATCATGTAGCAGTTATAAATGATTAGTGCATATTAGCACGTGGACTTAGTTGGAAACAACCACCTTCAGTGCAATCTGTCTGTGATCACAAACCTCTTCAGAGCTATTGCGTTTGTGCAGCTGTCCTACCCTTGGGATGGTGTCACTGGATTTCAGGGGCAGTGCCCCATGCAGCCAGGCTCAGTGACCCTCTCCTCTGACCAGCAGTCTTGTTCTCCTCTTGCCCCTACAGATAGGTGCAGGGGACATGTGTCCCTGCTGAGTCCCAGGGGTGTGGGTGTGCTTGGGAACCTGTGCGGTTCCTACAGGTGAGGTGGTGATGGTCAGCACTGGCACCCTGTCGATGTGCTCGTGGCACTGTCATGTTCACAGGCATGCCTGTCTCCTGTGGATTGTGTTTATTCCCAGGAGACAGAATGCCAGTCAGGGTATCCCTCCCTCACTACCTGTGTGGCCAAGGTTGGCTTCTGTGTTGACCTTTAGAAAACAAAATCCTCAAATCAAGTTGCTGTAATTAGACACTGCTTCTGTCTTGCCTCCTGTCTGCTGCTATGAATAATCATCTGACCGTGACTGTTTGCCCTTAAAACAGCCAGATGTGCTATCATGAACCAAAGCTTTGTGGATGTGTTACTAGAGGCCGGTGGGTCTTGCTGTAGACACCTGTCTTTTTTTCCCTCTGGTCCATGTGTGGGTGTGAATCTTGTATACGCACAGCCACCTTGGTTGGTGTGGGGAGGGCAGGGAGAGCCTGGGCTGACACCACCTCTGCAACCACAGCCTGTCATGTACTTCCCAGGCAGCAGCTGGGCCAACCTTGTTAAGGGTGAGCCTTGATTGACACATAAAGCAAAATTGTCTTAAGAGGGAATGGCTGGTGTTTTCTTTCTTCTGTGGAAGGTCGGGGTAGGGTGGGACCTTTACAGATGGCTGGGGTGTTCGCCTCAACACAGCTGCACTCAAGATAGCTAAGCAACATCCCAGTGTGGTCCTGGCTCCTTCCTTGGTCACCACAGAAGCAGCGTCTCTTAAAGGTCAAGTTGGGGATAGAGTGAAATCAGACTATTTAGTTGATGCAGGGAATCATACCCTACCATTTGGTGAGGAAGGTAGGCAGGGCAGCCCCTTGCCAGATGATCTCTGCTCAACCATGTTGACACCCACATCTCGGAATGCTTGAAATTAAACATACAACCTGACATTCTGTGAAACCAACAGAACTTGGGAGAGCTGCCCTCACACCCAGCCTAAATGAGCTGATTATCAGCTGTTTCCAGGGCCAGCAGGATGTTGGTAGGAGTCCCAGGCTCAAGAGTTGCGCCTTACCCAATGGCATGCATAAAGTAGTCCCATCACTCCTGGTGCTGTTCTGGGGGTGGGGGTCGGGGGAGCAGAGAGGAGCCTACGCGTCAATGTTGTGGGTTCTCATCACAGATACAATGGTAGTTCAATGATTTGTTTATTCTGGCCCACTTGGCCCAGCTCCTGTCCAAAACACTTGGGCAGATTGGGAGGGTGGCGGGCTCCAGGAGCCCATATGGATGGCTGGCTCTGGACAGGTCTCAAGTCCTCTGAGCATTCTGGGAGCCATATGTAGGACTTAAGTAATCCCTTGGCCTGTCCCTGTAATGACAATCTGGCTTTGCTTTAATGCTCTTCCTGCTTTTGGGGGCAGGAAGAGGTAGAGGTTGCAGTTTCTTGCAGGATGCTATCTTGAGGTCCTTTTGGGGGTTCGACTGGAGTTACCAGAACACCATTGGGGTGTTCTGCCCTTTCGAACAAGATGAGCATCTCGCAATGTGGGGTCTGTGGGAACAGGTCCACGGCCACAGCCTTGACTGGCCTGAAAGGGGTGCCTTTCACCCGGTTTGAAGGAGCCCTGCAGAGGCTGACGAGATGCAAATGTCAAGGTCAGCCAAGCCACATACCTGTACTGTGGGGTACGGGGCTGGGGGGCCAGCCATGGCCCACCCTAGACCTCACACTCACTCCACGAAGTTGCTCATGGCTGCCCGGGGATTACAGGATACATAGAGCAGCCGCTTGAGGTTCTCAGCTCTGCGGATGGCTAGGATCACTTTGGAATCTGAAGAGGTACAGAAATGGACTGGTTCTCCAAGGGTACCACTCAAGCAGGGGGTGGGGCAGGCCTGTGGCTACATAGCCTGGTGTGCGAAATGGATACCACTGCCCTCCTCCTTCCTTCACCACCCCAACAGGGAGCACTCACGCAGACCAGCACGGGGAGGGTCCAGGATGGCTACAAGCTGCTGGGAGGCCAGTCTGCTCACCAGGGCAGGCACCAGCTCCTCTGCCCGCCCGCAGTGGAACTCCACATTACTCAGTTCTGGAGAGGGCATGGCAGCCCTGTCAGGACACCCAGGCCCAGAGGGCCTGCCCCCTGACTGATGTCCCCTCAGCCAGAGGTACTTTAATATGATCTGTGGCCTGCTTGCCCTGCATGTTGGGCAGTTCCAGGCATCATGGGCACTCAGTAGGTCCACAGGAGCCCTTCGGCTGCCCACCCCCAGCATGGAGATTAGGGTTCATTTGTGGCGCTGGCTCTTACCATTGTTGTGGGCATTGACCCGGGCATCCTCCACAGCTTCCTGGCACAGCTCAATCCCCACGACACTCTTCACCTTCTGAAGTGAGGAAAGGGCACAGCCGTGGCACCCCACCCACTTCTACCCTGATGGACTTAGGGAGGGGAGCAACAGAAGCATTGTGGAGAGTGGGAAAGGCACTGGGATAGGCCAGAAGTTAACCTCAGTCCTCACATTATGGGGGGAGAGGGTCACCAGGGTCAAAAGCTGGTCATGACGCAGGGATGGGTGGGTTAGTGTGAGCAACTCATCCAGAGGAGGACTCACCGGAGCTAGAGCCAGGCCAATGGTGCCAGTGCCACAACACACGTCCAGTACCGTGCTCTCTGTGTCCAGCTGGGCCCAGTCCTGGATGACTGTGTACAGTACCTCAGCTGCCAGAGTGTTCACCTGGAGGGCAGGCCCCTGCACAAGTCAGCCTTCCCTTCTTTAGTTGGTCTGGGTCCCCCTGCCCTGGACACTCCTGCTCAGAAACCTTCACAGCCCAGGCCCCAGCTGCTTCCCAGATCTGTTCCCACTCCTTCAGGCCAGTCTTTGGATTGCCAACCTTTAAAATGCTAGGTAAACTCACCTTGGTTTTAATCAGCTAAATTGATGCCAACCTACTTAGAAGTTTCCTTCATGAGTATCAAACCTGTGGGATCTCCCTTGGCAGAGATTCTACCAGCACTCACCCAAAAATGCTAGCATCACCCTGACTCCTACCACATGGCTGTTTAAAGACCTCCTGCCTGGATGCTGTCCTCTAGATTTCTGCCAGGCTTGTTCCCGCCTTTAGCCAATGTTAACAGTTACATCATGACATCATGTCAGGCTTCCTTTCAAGTTGTCCTTGTAACCCCCTAGGAACACTGGTCTACCTGGAAGAAGGCATGAGGGGAGATCTGGAAGGTTAACCCCAGCAGGTCCTCGTGGATGTATCGGTCCCCAGCGATGTGCTCGAGGGGCAGGCCTTCCTGGCTGGGAGTCTTTCTGTGGGTAGTTGGTAGGTTTGTCAGTGTCATTAGCCCACAAAGGGACCCTCCCCACCCCCACCTGGGTGCCTCACCGCTGTCCCTCCTTCACAAAATAGAGGCAGGTCACCCCACTGGCCTTGCCTGGCCCTGTCACAAAGTATTGTACTAAGGAAGCTTTCAGCTGTGCCAATTCCTCAGAGCTCAGTTTCTGGAGTAAATAGTGGAAAAGATGCTGTTAGGCTGTGCTGAGGCCCACTCACAGCTGGACATCCTCCCCCAGAAGCACCACCCCTGTGTGAGACCTGGGGGTGGAAGTAGGCAATAGCCATGGCTTGCCCTCGGCGGCTGGTACGCACAGTCAGCTGCTTCCAGTGGCCTGAGTATGTCTCTGGGTCATAAGCAGAGTATGGACTGGACCTGTGGGAACCATACAAGGTAGCAGGACTTGCTGACCAGGAGTGAGCAAGCAGCCTCCTTCCTATCCCTTCTGAGGTAACCACCTAACCACCATCATAGAAATCCTCATTCCTGCAACCTAACCCTGCCCCCCAGACCACCTCAAGACTTTTGGGGAGCTTCTAGCCTATCCTTACCGGATGAATTCCTGGAACGCCTTCACCACACACTTGGTGGTCTTGGGGATGTGCATGGTGTCAAAAGGGGGTGCCACAGCACATGTCCCACCCTTGTACTTGCCGAGCCGGCAGCCAACAGTGTTGTCTTCCCCATCCACGCCAACACCAACCAGAAACTCACACTTATTACGATACTCGGTCTGCAGGGAGAGTGGAGGGAGACGGACACACCTGACCTTACCCTGGCCACCCAGTACTCACAGTGGGAATGCCCCAGTGGTTGAGTGAGAAGCTCTACTGCGTCACAGGGATAAAAAATTCCTATAGTGAGACACAGAACTGGTATGTGATGGGAACCAGAAATAACAGCAAAATAGGAAAGGGTAGGAGAAAGGTGAAAGAAGCTTTGTAAAGACAGGATGAAACCTGACCTGCTGGGGTGATGGTCTGACCCCTTCCAGGGGGCAGCAGGCCTTGTTGTGCTTGTGTCTCTGCGAGAGCAGCCAAGGCAACAGGGCACGGTTAGTGTTTCCAATTTCCCTGCAGGGTGAGGAAGTTGGACTCAGCCTGCTGGCCCCCACCCATCCCCAGCCACTCTCCAAATTCCCAGGCCCTATCTTGGGAACTCACAATCACCACTGATGACTCTGATGTCTTCAGTGTACTGTACAACACACAAAGTACCAAGGGGTTCCTGTGCCCACACTTACTTGGCAAGCTTCTGCAACACCTGCTCACACTCCAGTCGCTTCCGCTCAAGTTGCTCGGGGTAGGGCACAGTCCAAAGAGGGGTTACTACATCAGCAATGCATGTGGCTGGCGGCTCACCCTCATCCTCAAGCCGCCTTTTCTTGGCCATTGGGTCAGCTTTGGGTCTAGCCAAGCGCACACTGAGCGGCCGGCCCTTCCAGAGGGCACCGTGTAGCACCCGAAGGGCTTTGTCCCTTTCAGCAGCATTGCGGAATGTCACAAAAGCACAGGGGGGTTGACCAAAGAGCTTGGTCTTATGGGGCTGCAGGCCAAAGCGGCTAAGAAAGCGGCGGACATCACTGAAGCTGGCATGGCGGGGCACGTTCTGCAATTCTAATTTGAAGATCTCTGACGTGAACAGGTCTTCTCTGATGTAGCTGTAGAGACCAGGCTGAGGCCCCAACTCTGCAGCTGCCCCAGACCCCGCTTCCTCTTCCTTCTCTTCCTGGGGGGCCGGGAATGCAGGGCTGCCCAGGGCACTTTTACTGTCCTGTTCACAGCCTTCCACTGGACCCTGGCTCTGTGTGGAGATGGACAAGGACTGGACCTTGGACCTGAACAACCCATGCTCCCGCACCCTCATGTAGATCTCCATCCATCAGCACACCTAAGACTCATCTCACCCGTTTCTGTTCTTATTCCCCACATTCCCTCTCCCATCTCATGCCCCTTCCCCGTGTTTTCTTCTAAGGGTTTAGAGCCAGTCCCCTCCACCCTATCCCCATTTCCGTACGAAATCTCTCACCGAGATCTCCCTTTCCTTTACTTCGTCGTCGAAATTATCACTCATCGTCCGGTCCGTCTGCAGGCTGGTATCGAACACCTCGGCAGGTATCTATCTCGCCACTTCGTCCTGGGCCTGGCACAAGGGAGGGGCTCTGAAAGAGGGTGCGATGCGGCAAGAGCGATCGCTTCGGCCAACACACCCCTAGCCCCCTCGCTGCCACGGCTCGGCAACAGAGTGGTGCGAGACTCGAACCCTCGGTGGTCAGGTCCAGATCTTGCACGTCGGCTGCGCCGCCCGCCCACCAGGGGCCCGAGCCGGTCGCTCGCCTCGCGGAGAGATTTCACGTTTGCGAGAGCGTGCAGCTGAGGGCGCGCGTCTCTATCAGCTTGCCTTCCGATGACGTCATAGCCACGCGCCGGCTTCGATCCCTAACCTCATTTGCGAGTTCGAGGGGCGTGAGCCGCCGCGGAGCGGAAATGCGTGCAAAGGCCGCCGGGAGTGCTAGCTTCTCTGGCTTCGGGGCGGGCCGGGCATGCGCCGCGGGCGTTTTGGCGGGAAGCGCAGGGCAGGCTGGACAATGAGAGTGTCCGCCGCCTGAACTAATAAAGCTGCACAGGTTTTGAATTGCGGCGCGTTTCCCGCCGCCGGGGTCAGGGGTCGTGGTTCGGGTCGCGGGGCGGAGGGAAGAGCAGGCAGGCGGAGGCGCCGGCGCCAGACGCGGAGGAAAGGAAGTACGACTAGCCGCCGAGAGGCCGCGGAGCCAGCGACGACCGAGCCACCTTAGTCGCCGCCGCTGCCGCGCCCCCATGGCGGCCGCCAAGGTGCGGCCGGGCTCGGACGGGTAGTGGGCGGGAGCCGAGGGGCTGAGGCGGCTATCGATGGCCACGTGGGCGGCCCGCGCCACCGCCACCAACCCCCGTTGGCCTTGTGGGCTCGACACCTGCGGGGCTACGGTAGTGAGGAATCGGGACTCGTGGGGAGCGCGGCCTGGGGACTCGAGGCCTTCGGGCCCTTGGCGCTTGGGGTAGGGGGGGCACGGGCTTGGGCCCGGGGGCTGCTGTGCGCTGACGTGACCTTGGGGCCGTCCCAGTGGGTGCGGGAGGGCCCGCGTGGACCTGGTTCTCGAGCTTCGTAGTCTCACTTTCACTACACTGTTCGCTTGGGACATGAGGCCCCTCAATCAGTGTCCTCGGCTCTGACTACTTGAGGGTTTCCTACCCTGACGGCGGTACCCCACTTTCGTCGTCTACGCAGCACTTCATTCATGCTGTACTTGGGACTCAAGCCACCGCAGGCCCCAGAGGTGGAAACCGGGCAGACCGGTCCTGTACTCACCGACCCAGGGTGGGAGCGGGTTTGTTGGCTGGAGATGTCTTTGGGGTGAGCTGGTTGATCCGCATTGCTGTTCTTCCAAGTAAAACCTCGTAGAAGTGTATTTTATTTTTTGGATTGAGTTGTAGTGAAGTCTTCGGGTTTCTTCTGGATTTGAAAATCTGTAATACCTGGACCTAAAATGTGATCCTTTGTGCTCTGTATTGGATCAGGACTTTTTAGCTCCTATTTGTGTTTCTTTTTTTGGCAGCTTAATCTTCAGTGAAAAAGTCGCCGAGAGTTGCTTTTCACTTTAAGGATAACATTCTCCTTGAGACCCTCTTCCAGCTATCATTGTGTCTCTTAATCATCATATGTGGTATCATCATCTGCATTTTAACATAGGAGGAAACTGGGGCCTTAAAGAGATGAGGCGATTCTTTTCAGTCCTCTCCAGAGTCTTAGGTGGCCAATTTTGAAGGGCTCCAGTTTGTATAGATGTGATTGATGCGCCTGATTCTGCTAGAGGGTGCTGAGGTCCAATGCCTCAACATAAATCCACTTTTTAGAGTTGACTTTGGAGCACACCTTTCCTGGTGTCAAAGGTTAAAGGCTTAATACATTCACTAGACAGGATGCTGGCTTTTGGTTGGAACATGACTAGGAGTCACCTCTGCACCTCTCTCCACAGGACACCCATGAGGATCATGACACCTCCACTGAGAATGCAGATGAGTCAAACCACGACCCCCAGTTTGAACCTATAGTTTCTCTCCCTGAGCAAGAAATTAAAACACTGGAGGAAGATGAAGAGGAGCTTTTTAAAATGTAAGTAAACTGAAATTGCTCCACAAATAGGTATCTTTTCGAAGTAGTTATTGCTTTTATAGGGTTCCAGAACTTTAATTGGACCAAGGCTACGTGAATAAAGGACCTGGAATTGTGTGAGGACTGCGCCCATGTGGAAGTCAAAGCTGTTAGAATCTGCATAGTACATAGCTTTTTCCTTAAATGCCCCTGCTACTCTATACATGGTACAAACACTCCCTGGTGTCTTGTGACCATTGCTTTGTCCACAGTGCACATTTCCCCAACTTAGCCCCTTTGCCTCTAAGACTCCCACAATCCCGTTTGGTTGAACATGGAGTCTCACTTAAGTTTTACTTGTGCATTGTGGACTTTTTTGGCAGTCTTATGCATCATTGAGTTTTTAATGTGCAAGAGGGTACCTAGCATTGTAAATGAAAACAGGTGATGTTACAGCTTTCATGATTTTTAAAAATTATTTCTTGATTGTCTTTGGTGAGATGCTGTGTGTGTGGTGGGGGTGGGGTGGGGGAGTTGGTGTCACTTTGAATCAGTGCTTGTATAAGCCATGTGTCCAGATATCTCTGAAAAAAAAATCACAGTAACGCCAAGACTGACGTGTTGTCAGGGTCAAAGGAAGTGACAGATTCAGTTAGCCATTAGTGGATAGGTTGTAGCATTTTCCCTGTCCAAGCTCTTATATGTCCCCCAACCCCCTTCAAATTCTAGTCAAAATGCCAGTTAAAATTTGAGTCTTTATTGGCAGAGTTGTTAGTGAGCAGAGTAATCCTGTACTCTGACTTTCTCTCTGAGGAAGCCTAGGAAAGAAGAATTGTACGTGCCAATTGTTCCCAAGATTGATGGGCATCTCCCTGAAGACGCCAGCTCTCCAGGTCTCTGTTTGCCTGATAATGATGCTGCAACCAGGGGGCAGGGGCCTCCTGCAGTGAGAATTGCTTGTGTGGCTATTGTCACTTCTCTGGCCACATGACCTGTAAGAGTTATATGTATCCTAGACACAGGTCATCTCCTTGATGTCATAGTCTGCTTTTATAAATTTGAATTTGGGAGTGGCAGCAGCAAAAGGACCAGCAAAACTGGGCTCTTGAGAATAAAGGACAGGTATGGCTGCTGGGGAAGGCAGAGCATCCACTTGTGCTGACAAGACTGAGGCTCACTGGTGGTGGTTTCTTGGTGCCCTTGTAAGACTTGCGACCTGGCCTGAGCTCAGTGTAGGATGGAAGTTAGTTTGTGAGGTCAGAGCCTGGTGATCTGAGCAGAGGCCTGCAGCATTCTCTTTGGGTGGGGGCCAGAGAGGGGTGGGTTGCAATTTTCAGCTGAGGGAAGGACTGTCCTTTTCCCGTTGGTGACTGTTGTGTACATGCTGCATTCATGTGGGCTTTACTAAGGGAATCAGGTCTTTTTGTTGGGAAAAGTGTTGCAAGAACAGAATTTTTTTGTTCGGAAGTAAACACTTGAATTTGTTGGGGTATTTTACTCTCTTAGTGGTATTTTGACTTGTTCAATATACAGAAAACAAGTGTTGTTTATAACAGGTGTTTGATTTGATTCTCTTCCTATCTGTTGTCTAAACTCTTAATGGTTTTTTTCTTGAAGGCGGGCAAAGCTATTCCGATTTGCATCAGAGAATGATCTCCCAGAGTGGAAGGAACGAGGTACTGGCGACGTCAAGCTCCTCAAGCATAAGGAGAAAGGGACCATCCGCCTCCTCATGAGGAGAGACAAGACTCTGAAGATATGTGCTAACCATTACAGTAGGTGGCCTGTCATGTGTGGTTTTCTCCAAGTCCCAGAACTCTGCATTGGAGCAACTCTGCATAGTCCCTTGAACAGGTTGATTTGCATAGTCCCTTGAACAGGTTGATTTCAGGGCCGTACGGATGCCTGGATGTGTGTTCTACACTTATGTTTTTGAATTTAAAACGGTGAAGTTTTTTCTGGTGTGCTGCTGAACTCAGCAGTTCTGTGGCAGCACATGTGGCGTGCCATCCTGTGAGGCAGAAGCTGGTGGGATGGATGCAGAAGCTTAAATGTGGGCTGGGAGCATGCATGTTTGCTCCAGAGCAGGGCAGTGTTGGGAGGGCATGTGTGAGTAACCATGACATTGCACATGTATATAAAACACCTGTCTTATACTTTGGTACATTCAGTTCCCACAGGATGGCCCCTAGGGAGGAGTGAGGTAGAGAAGGTAGCTGCCTCAACCTTAGGTGCCTCTGAAATTGCACATGGGGTGGTGATGGTAGGTGCAGGCCCTGGGACTGATGTGATTCTCTTGGCTTCTGGTTGGTCTGCAGTACTTTGAGTATGTCTTTGGAAGTGAAGGTGTACTGGGCTCCTTTCCTGATCTAGTATTATGTATTTCTGTTGAGCAGGCAGGGTACCAGAGTAGAATGACCAGTAGAATGTGGAAGGATGGGCGGGTTTGCATCGGTCCCAACATGGGGAAGGAGCCCAGTGCATTAATCTCCATGTGCCAGCCTAATTGGCTTCCTTAGGAAGTCCTCCCCTCAATCAGCCCGGCCTCATCCTCCTCTATTCTGATTTGAATCTTCTCATCAGGAATTTCCGCAACATCCTTTGTTTCTCTCAGAGCCCCTCAGGAAGCAGGGTTGTGGGTTATAAATGTACACATAGTCCCTTGATGGACAGAGTGGGTGGTATTGGGAAGAGGTTGTGACACTTCTTGTGCTATGGTAATAGCACTCGGGCTTGCCAAGTGGGGTTGGTGCTGATATGTGCCCATGATGGGGCTTTGGACTGTCCATGTCTCCAAAGACTTCTGCCAGGAATTCAAAGGCACATTGTTCGACCTGGCACTGGAGATTCTGCTCTTTTTCAGGGATCACTTGTTCCCATGGGGTCTGAGGAGTAGCTGTGCTTATTGTGGGTGGTTGTGCTTATTCCAGGTCATAAGTGCCTCTTGTGAGCTGATGCCCCAAGGCTGAGAGTGGTTACCCTTGTCTCATCCCTCATGACACCCCGTTTTCCTGCTTCTGCCTCTGCTGCCTTTACTTCCTGATAGCCAGCGTCCCTAGTAGGACCAAGTATCAACGCAAATATGTCTGTGGTGCCTTTTCATAGGAAAGGTTGGGAGCCTCACTGGTTACCTAGGGGTTTAAGACTCAGTGCTATCACCAATATGGCCTGAGTTTGATTCCCAGCCAAGGAACTAACCCAAATATTGGCACAGCAGACTTCTCCCATCTTGCCTGCTGCTCCTGCAGC